GCCTGTTTCTTTTTGCCATTAACTTGTAATTTTTTTCCAATTTAAAATCCGATCGCAAAATTGTTGTCAGCGCAAATTCCTTTACAGTAATCAGTCAGGAGGTATAGGCTTGTATTTGATATTTAGAAGTTGAACTGGGCCTGAGGTACCGTGGATAATTTTTCTCCAAGAAAAGGTAAAATTTGTAACCAGTCTAAAAAGTATTAAACATTTTTGTTTGTTAGAGTCATTGGTTCAAGAGAAATTCAGCCGGGCCAAAAAAGGACATCCTGTGTAGAGAGCTGTAAACGGTAGGCGTTGGCACGGCGCTCATCTCGGTAAGGTAAAGGTCCTGGGTTCGAATCCAGCGACCCTGCATTCGAACCTGTCATACTTACAAATGGGCTTGTTTTCAAAAACACCGGCATCCTGAGGGTTGATATGACTTCTGCTGTTGCGAAACTTCGTTAAAAAAAAAAAAAAAAAATTATAACCAGATCTTGAATTCATTTAGATCTATAGCAATCAATCATATTGCATGCCAAAAAGATTAAAATAGCTATTTAACAAAAATTTCAAAACCAAGTGTTAAGGAACTTGTTTGATGCCCCTGTGTAATAGTTACGAATGTTTTTTACAGTTTATTTATTTATAGAAATTCCGTTTTAAATCTTGTGCGTTACAATATCTTTAAACGATTTCACCCATGACAATCTTTTTTTCCAGTTTGTTATCTTTGTTATATATTTTCATGATTTCACAAATGAGGGCACTCTCTAAATTCCAAATATATCTAAAACTCGATCGATGGGCAATATTTCAAAGTTGCCAGAACTTCGTCAAACTGAGTAATGGGTAAAGATAGTTTGTAACGGTTTAACATTGTTCAGGACAAGCCGTGTAAAATAAAATACTGCAGTCTCACAACAGTTTAGTGTTTACTCGGTAACTTTTCACAGCTTGTCAACGACCCGTACAAGACTAATCTGAACAGCTAGGTAATCATAAAAGTAGGACGGGGTTTTTTTTATGTTGCTTGGCATGTCTGTGGAAAAAAACATTACTTCGATTAATCCCAATTGTTGAAAAGAGGTCCTGTCGGCGTTGACTTCATGATTGGTTAGAAAATTGTTTGAATGTTGACTGAACAATTTAACTGTCATGTTATCAATTCAAATCAACTTAGTTGTTAACTAACATTAATTTGTTTCCAAAGATTATTGTGATTAATCAGAGTTGTGTAATTAGCTCTATTTTTTGGAAGTTGTTAATTATTTTAATTTGTACAGAATCTCCCTGCACTAGAGTTACAAGGTTTCTATTTTTTTACTTCCTTTTGAGGATTTATTTAGTAGAAAAATGCATGAGTTAAGATTAAAAAAAACAAAAAAACAATTGTACTGCTTTTTTGTTTAATCAATTTATCTGACAAAATCTTTTTGCAAGTCTCATATTTAATTCTCGTTTATCCACTCGGACATTGTAAAACTTAAAATTTACAAAATTATTTTGCAAGTAATCTCACGAAATGTTAAATTTCATAAAAGAAACGTTTTCATTTTATTTCCCCTTATTGCCAGGTTTATGAATTATTTACACTTTGCCGGAGATATCCCACGAGGTGCCAAGGCAGATAGCTCGTTTTGATGAAAGCGCAAATGTTTCATCGTCCAATTTGGCGAGCCGAGGCCACTCTTTCATGTCTGAACAGTAATCCAACAGACCACATTTACGCACGAACCCGATTCACAATTTGACGTGGTTGAAAATTGACAAATCGGAAATTAACGATCTACTGTCTGCAAAAAGATGTCAGCCTGGTTTGACAACCGATAAATTTTCATTCTATAACTTTTTGACAAAAATTTATCCAAATTTCTTCCGCTATCAAGAAAAACTTATTCCTTTTTACTACACATTAAAAATATATCTATTTCTGAAAATACCAAATCTTGTACACGAACAAAATGTCATTACTTCACACATAGGTAGTGAGAAATTTAAAAAAAATTAAATATTGTATAAATATTGTTTTCTGTGTTTGATGTGCACATATATCAATATATTAGCCGAGTAATTAACCTCGTATAAAAAAATAATAGCAGAATCGTACTAAATGACTGTTATAGTGTTTGGCAAGTTGGGACTGGGTCGGTCTTCAAGGAAATTTGAGATCGCCTGTAAAAAACTTAAGTATGTTAATCTGTGGACATATTTAAGATTGTTTTGCTCTGTAGGTCGAATAAAAATAGGTCGAAAGCATGACAGTTACAACTGAATTTACTTTCTTCTTCAAGACGATACCTTGATCTAGATTGTTCATGTATGAATATACAAGAAGTTAAAAAACCGAAAGATGCTTCCAGTAAAGTAGGTCGAAAACATTATTATCAAAAACAAATTTCAAATTCATTTTAAACACTTTTTAAAGTTCTTAACTTCGAATTTTTAAACTGATAAAAAATATACAGTTTTGAGCTAGTTTTTTTGCGGACTTGCGATTTTCATTTAAAATTGCAAAAATCTTCTGGATTACATCCAAATCCAACGTTATTAGAACCGTTAGAAAAGTGGATTCCTCTGCTTTGGGTCTATATAAATAAATAAGGATGGAATCAGTAAAGCTCCTGTAATGTTTTACTTTATACCTTCTAGTCTTTTTGTTAGGGCCATTACGTGTAGTTTATAGCGTTCTAAACCCCTATAAAGTTAAGTTGATGGTGGGTGTTGATCTGCGAGTCGGTGAACACTTGTTGAACCGGCAACTGTGTCACTGAGTCCGTCTACACTCGCGTTTTTTGATGTTATTCTAACGATTTTCAGCTGACATCTTCAGAATAACTAACTCCCAATGCCGGACCTATAATATTGTCAGTGGATCGGATACGAAGAATACGCAAAATTTGAGAGAAATTTTTTTTAAGTTTGTTTCCAGGGGTATTTTTACGAACAAAATATTAATATCAAATTTGTTTCTTGCTAAAACAATTTTTTAACATACTCTCTGGCTGATGTTGCCTCAAAATTTTCATTTTTCTGTTTGCTATAATCTATTGAAGGGGTTTAAAGAATGCTTAAAACGAATCCGAATTTCACCCAACATCAATTTTTTTGACTACTTTATTTTAAGCGTAATTTCAGTTTTGGTAATATTTGTGGAACTAACCTCATTTAATACGATCTTACATTAATATTTTGTTATCCTACTTAAAAAAACGAATCGACTGATATATAATAACTTTGTAATCCATGAACATCCAACATATCAAAAAAAATAAATTCCGCGAAATATTGGGTCGTAAAGTTAACCCATAGCGCTTTTTGATGGTAAATTAAACGTAAAATCGGAAACAAATTTAATCAACAATATATGAGCTTGTTTTTCCTTCGTCTACCTGTTGCCACCTTTCATACAAACTTAGATATGCTATCAGCCTGATGATGAACTTAACATCGGTCGAAATCATGGCAGTAGACAGTAAATTTGCTTTCTTCTTCATTACTATACCTTGATCCACAGTGTTCGTAAGTGAAAAAGTGGTCGATACTTCTAATACTGGGTTATTTTTGACAAAAGCTTAAATTTGATCATCACCTATCTTGAAGGATGATCTGAATGCTTTGCGTCTTCCAATTCAAAATTTTCCATTTCTGTACTGAGCAAACCACTTACGGACGGTACTTGATTCAAAAGCCTCATCATAATGTACATCACAAATTTTCCTCAAGTTTAATTAATTTATTACTAATGCTACTAAAATTTTACTCCATTTTAAATGAGCAAAATACCTTGTAAAAATGCTATATCTTCAGCTAAACCGACAAAGAAAAACACCTTAACTAATCCTTTTGCAGAATGTGTCAATTATGATTGCTTTATAACACAAGAAGGATAAAGTGTTTATGAAGTTGATGTTTAACCAATGGGCCTTAGGAATGGATTTTTTTAAAAGTATTTTAAATCGGCATTTTTATGAAATTATTAATTTTTTAATGGGTTTCTGTCTTTCTTTCTTATGTATTTTACGCTTAACAAAATAATAATATAAGAAAGTATTATGTGAGATTAATCATATAAAAAGTTACAAACACCTGTACGCCTCAATTAAAGTAGGTCAAAAAAATATTCTGAGTAGAATTCGTATTTTTTGAAGCACCTTTTACATACAATATATATCAAAACGCTTACATACGAAATATATGGCAAAGAAAAAAAAATAGATATTTTGGGACTGGACCGACCGGAGTGATGTAGCAAAGTAGGTTAAAATAGTATTTTAGCAAGAAACAAAGTTGATGACTTAAAAAGAAGATGGCACAAACCCGAAAAACTTTTGACTAACATCAAAAACCATGGAGTCTAGAGGGCCCCAATAAGTGACTCATTGTCAGTTGCTGGGTTTTGCTTACTGACAAAGTTAGTCATTTTTGTGACCATGTTTTCTTAGTTGTATCGTCCTTTAATGCATGACCATCTAAAATCTAATTCCTTAAAGATGTGCACTTTTCGTTTAAATTTGATTGTTTTTCAAAGTGCGTGCTTTTTAATGGTGATGCGACTTTGCAACATTAATTTAAAAAAGTATGTGTGAATGAAAAGAATCTAGCATCTGCAATAAATCAGAGAACCTTTTTGTTGAAATGCAGACAAAACAAGGCCCTGAAGATGATCTCAATAAAGTTCGAAACGTTGGCAAGATAAAGTAAATGTTTTTCTAAACGTACATCACACCAGACAGCATCTCACGATCTGTAAATAATCTTTATTTTAATATATAACTTAACAATTGAGGCTTAACAATTGAATTTAAGGTTTTCCTTAAACAATAAATCTAAAAAGCGGAAGCTTAATAAAAGCATCGTCAGTCGGGTTTAATTGTAATGTAACAACGCTGTGGTATGAGTTTATGAAATGATATACTAAAATAAATCACCAAAAAATTCGAGTAAGTTGACAATAAGAAGTGAAGGGTGAGGTCCTTGGTTGACGGGAGTGACCCGGAGAGGGGAGTGGAGCGTCCGTTAGAGAAGGCGTGAGCACAGCCAGAACAAGATGCAGCTCGGAGAGAAGAGGAGCTTGGGGAAGTGGTGGTTGTGCGCGGGTTTTTCGGGTTTGCTTTTCACATCCGCGTTCATCGCGGCGACTCTCTACCTGGGCTCGCGGGACCCGGCTCTCAGACCCAGGTTCAGGCATGTCTCGTCTCGAGCGACGGTTAAGCCGACTCCGACATCGACACCCGCCGACCGTCTTGAACTCGGCCCTGATCCAATGACCTACGAAGAGTTGTATCCGCTGAAGCGAAACCCCGTGAAGAAGAAGTCCGAGGCGGTGTACCCCGCCGACTGGCCCCGAGAGATGGCGAGGCCGGTCGTCGTCGACCCTCAAGACATCGGGGACGATTTCAGCCTCCCGGGCATCCAGCCCCAACCCCCGCCGTTTAGGTACATAAAAGACTACGAAGACAGTGAAGTCGAGTACGAAAACCCCATGTTCACATATTTGCAAAAAAGGCTGAAAGATATTTACGATCTCGTCGGCAGCAGGAAAGCGGTAAACGCCGACTGGCTGGACCTCCTTAGAACAGTCAACGAATCTATATACAAGAGTAACGCGACAATAATCATGGAAAAGCTAAAAACTATGTATTACAACACGTCCGCCCCTGAAATCCCGATGTCCTCGTTAATCTATCCCAATAGACAAACACTGTTGAGCAACTCGTCTAGTTTGGTCTCTTTCGGTCTGTTGGCAATCGATTTGTTCCTTCTTCATAACGTGCAGCAGATAGCTTTTACCGAGGAAGACGCATTGGGAGATCGTCTGCAAAAAGATCCGGAAGTTGTCGCCTTAAACGCCCTGTTCCTTCCTCCAGACCGGCTCGGAAAATCCAGCCGCTCCCGAGAAGAACTGGAGTCGCAGGGTATGATTCAGGAGGTGCTGGAGTTCCTTCTTGGCGTGATGAGAGCTGTGGGCAACCTGGGAAAAGCATACGCGAAATCGACCAGCCCGGAAGAGAAGAGAAGCAACGAGCCGAGCCCCCTCGACTGCATTTGGACCCTCTATTGTCGCAATTTGGATAAAACGGCGAAACTCGACGGACCTTACGGGTTCCTCGCAAAAATGAACAGGTACCCATGTTTATTCGATAATTTATAAACTCCTTGATCCCAAAATCGAAAGCTTTGATTTTATCAAGTATATAATATAACCTTGAAATTTATTTGACCTTTTTATATTTCTTATTTTAATAATATTGCACCGGTAGACGTAATCGCTTTGTACAATCAGTCTGATTTTATGAGACCCGTGCGGTAAAAAATGATTTGTTGAAGTCGTTTCGTTTGAACTAAATGCTAAATATGTATATAAGTTTTTCTCTAAAAAAAAACTTCTTTTATAGACCTATTATTTTAAATATACTTACTTTTTTACAAAGGATTTATAGAAGATACAACAGACTAAACATAGCCAACAAACAACTCTTCCTACTTAAAAATTTTATTTCACAACCTTGCCACCCTATTTCTTTGTATTTTTAAATTTTTATGTCGGTTACAAAGATGCCTCACATTTTGCATCGGTTGTTTCAAGTGTTTTACTTCCGTGGTGGATGTTCCGTTTAACCCGTTCGTCGACTTTATAAAACAGCCGAGTCAGGGCTATAAATTGAATCGGCTGCGTGTTCAAAAAAATGACATTTACGTGAAACTTGTTTCTTGCCGATTCAAACGAGGATGGATTCGCTGACGGTACAAACCAAGCGAACGCCTTTTGAATAAATTAATTTCGCTTCGAAAGTTTTGATTGGCTCTTTCAAAACTTCAGGGCACCCCGGTTCAAATGTATGAATGAGAGGAATTATGACCTACATTTCCTCAACATTAAATTCAGGAAATATGTGTTATCTTCAATTATTGGAAAAAAAACCTTAGTTGCAATAATTAATCAATATGTCTTTATTTATTAGTGTATTATTAGTGTGATTTTGTTGGAAAAATTTTAATTGGTAATTTGATTAGATCACTCACTCTTTTTATTATTATTTTTCATTATTCTTTCTCAAAGGAAACAGGTATTCCGTCAACTTTAAACCTTGGTGTTGCCGCATTCTTAAATTTTTTCTATAGTCAGAAATCAGAATAATAGTAATTCATAATAGTAAAACGAAAAAAAAAGAACTTATTTTCGCTCATCTTTTCTTACAGGCGAAACTAAAATTACGAAAGTCGAAAGTTAAAATTAATGAAAGAATAATTACTTAAAAGTAAACAAATTGTTAAAACTTCAGAAAATAGACTTACATTATCATCGAATTAATTATCCGACATATCGCCGGTCGTTATACGTTAATTGCACGTAATAAAACCTAGGGCATTCTACTTTAGAAAAAAGACAATCGAGAGGACATTTTTTCTTCTGATTTTTATTTATTTATTTATTTTTTACGAGGGTTCGCAACAAGCAGAGGTTATATCAACCCTCGGGGTGCCGGTGTTTTTGAAAAAAAGCCCATTTGTAAGTATGTCGTGTTCGAACGCAGGGCCGCTGGATTCGAACCCGGGACCTTTCCCTTACAGTGATGAGCGCTGCGTCAACGCCTAAACCGTTGCGGCCACCAGCGCTCCCTTTGATTTTTACTAAATCTCTAAAAACAAACACTCTCAACACGTCCAGTGACACATCGCACAAAACACACACTTTGAGCCCTGAAGATGATCTAAATAAAGATGGAAACGTTGGCACAGTAAAGAAATTTTTTTCTGAACACAAGATCGCATCTCACGATATCCAAATAATAATTAATTATCGGTCACTAAATATTACACATTTCTAAAAACAGGCTATCTTGGCTTAACTATATTTTATGTAGAAACATTTGCAGCAATTTTTTCTCAAACTGCCGGTCTAATATTAAAGGTTCGGTTTTAATTGTTAGCTGGATCGACTACTTTTTGCTCACGAATAGTCTTGATGAATAACAAATTTAATTTTGACTGCCAAGCTTTCGTCCTATTTTAAGTTAATAATCAGGGCAAAACGACCTTAAATATGTCTACAAATTGATATAATTAAGGTTTTATTAGACGATTTCAAATTTCTTTCAAGATAGACTCGGTCCAAATATTAGCAAGGACTGTAACCAAACCATTCTTTCCACCAAGACGATACCGAGATCCAGACTATTTGTAAACAAACTATTATAAAAACTTGGACTTTATAATTCTTACCTCTAAATCGAATCCAATTTCCAATTGAACCCAATTAGTTTTGAAAAATTGGAAGTATTGTTTAAAAATTTTAATGATAAAACTCATTCTCTGATAATTATTTAACTTCAACCTATGTTCCTTTTATCTCTTTCAATGGAGATATTCCCGACATATTTTAAAAGAGCATTTGTTCTACCAGTATTTAAAAGTGGATCAAAATATTAATAACTATCGGCACATTTTTTATTCCTATCATTAGCAAAAATCTTAGAAAATGTATCAAAAAGCTACTAATTAAATTTATTTGCGAAAATAATCTAATTTTTGATAATCAATTAAATTTTCTTTCTAGTGAATCAGTAGAACAAGCCACATTTTAAATTACTAATCTGACTGCTTAAGACATTTCTTTTTATTTCAGTATAATTAAAATTCATTGTTAATTTTACAACTCCTGCTCTCAGGTACAAATATTGATATTTATGGGAAGCAGGTTTTAATGGAAGAATAAAAAAATACTTTTATAATTAGGTGATAATTTTTTATTATTCGACATCGATTCCAAAAAAACTGTAATATCTTTTGTATTTTCCTCTTGGGGAAATAAAGAATTATTATTAGTTGACAATAAACGCCTGCTCAACTTTCTATGTCCAACTTTGCCTTATCACCATTTCTACAGAGTCTGTTGCCAATTTCAGACTCAGCCTTGATTTTGAAGTGTAAATGCTGTTATCTTAAGTTGCTTATCGTTTAAAATTGCCATTTTACGGTGTTATTTTTTTATCGCCAAACAATTTACATGAACGGGACTTGTTTTGAAAATAACGAGCGACAAAATTATATTTATTTATTTATATTATACATTAACAGAAAATTGTGATGCCTTTATGAAATACAGAATTATTATATTTATTTTAGAAGAGTAAATTTATTTAATTAACTATTTTTTCTTTTAAAAAATATTTTCCCAATTTTGAACAGCGCAAAAGTCTTCCCACCAGCATTGTTGTACTTTGTTGAATGTAATTCAACATTAACATCTTTCCATTAAATTATACAAATTGAAATGAAAATGAAAGAAATGTAAATCAAAAAAGCAACAAGCTATTGAATTCAGTAATAAGTCTATTAATTATTATAATAATCACCACGAAATATAAACTATCCGAATGTGAGCGACTCCCAAAACACCGGAAAAAATTTAATTACAACATTGATTACACGATAAAAGATTTGAATATCATGAGTGAATTTTTAAAGTTTATGGTTGCATGTAGAGAACCTTCTTTATAAATGGCTTTTATTTAGTGACTGCATTTATTAGCGTGACGGTTGGCGGATGTAAGCAAGTCTGTGACGGAATAATAATACCTCACAGACCCGTCAAAGTAAACTCGCTCAATATACGTTTTTTCTGTTTATAAGTTTCTCATTGAAGAAGGCGCAAAGCAGACGTTTGACTAAAATAAAAAACTGATGAATGGTGAAGTGTTTGTGTTAGAATGTGCAGTACACAGATCTGTTGATTCGGTTAGGTTAATTAATATTGTGAATGGGCGTAACGTGAGAGGTCGGGAAGGCAGCGAATAATATTAAAATCACGTTGGCTTATCTGGTTTTCGTTGTAGATGTGGTCTGAAAGTTTCTATCCGATATGAATGTATTTATTGGCGTAAATAATCTGATTGTGTGGGTACGAACATCCTGCCGGCCTAATAACTGTAGGTTTAGTTGACGTTATAGTGACAATTTCTCCGTGTTGTCTGCAGGGTGAAATTTGGACTTCGTCATGAAGGGATAAATTGCCTGGGCTTAGTAACCGTCATTCAGTAGATATCCTCAGGGGAAAAAATAAAACAAAAAAGAGTCCACCAATTAATTAGGTACTTAATTTATAACTAATAATTTTTAAAGTATGCAATTTTATATAATTAACGCAAATTAATTAACATATATATTCATTAAAATACGTCAATCGCTTTTTCAATAATGCTACAAATAAAATAATTAACTTCGTATAACCTTTCGAAGCAGTCTTAAAGTTTAATTAAGTGAGTTTAATTTCTAAATAATTTTTTTTCTCAATATTAACAGTAGTTGGTATTTGGTGGTTGCATTTTTCATTATAAATCCATTATAATTAGTCTATCGACTAATTTACTTCTTTCAATTAATTAATCTTTTTACGTAAGGTTTTGGTTGAAATGAAAAAGTTAGTGTCACGAGCGGGATTCGAACCCACGACCTTCGGCTTTTCATCTCAACCAAGACCTTAGATGAAAAGATTAATTTTCCCTTACATTCGTAATATAATTTGGTTTTAAGGATTTACCTGGTAATTCCAGTAAACGCAACAAATGGAAAAGCCTCGATTAATTCATCACTAGCCTAACTTTACCAGTTTACATTATATATTTTATTGTGTATGTTATTGTATAGATCGTCACAGCAACATTCGTACATTTGATAAAATATAAATATTCCACATAAAAAAAAGATATTTTGTTGATACTCTAATTTGAAATAAACGATGATTTACAATAGAATGCGTAGAAATAAATATTTTTTCTTAAACATTATGGAAAGACAAATAAAGGAACGATGGATTACTTTAATTAGGTTTCATATTCAAGAATAGTTAAGTTTCGACTGTTCTGTTTATTTATAATTTTTTTAATTTTTACCCCATCAGTTATTTCAATATATTGTTATATTAATAAAACACTTGAAAATAAAGTTTTTATTGTAATATTTTGATTAAAAGTGACTATTTAATTTAATGAGTGGTGTTAAGTGACCGTTCGAATACCGGTCGAAGTCGTAAAAAAAAGAAATTTTAGGTTTAATGAAAGTATTTGTATTAATTCAAAGTGTATGTTTTCTGTATTAAGTCTGATGTAATTTACAGCATCAAT